AGCAATAACATGCTATGCACAACATGCGGAACATGCGCATGGCACAAGCCACCGTTGACTGTCACTCCACAATTGCAAAGGGACGTCCCGAGTAAAGATTGGTAACATAGAGTACGGTAGCTAAAGAAAGAAGCACGAGCCTTCCACTAAAACAAGACAGGATGTCTGCAAGGTCAGCAGGAAATCCTCCAAGGAAAGAAACATCCTCGTCGGACGCAGCAGAAGAAGCCGTCTCCTTGATGGTTCCAACGCATCTTTCTTATTCCCAACCAAGAATTTCCTTCCAAACCCCCACCACCACCAGCCACGGACTGGTGTTGCTCTTGGGTGCCATTCTGGCAGCTCTTGCACTGTTTCTGGCAGGCTTTTTGGCGGGTATCTACTATTCCAGTTCCCCTTATCCAGCCAACTTTTTATGCGAGTATTATCATCACCTCAATAGAAGTAATGAGAGCAACGACGAGTCCGCCGCCGTGTCGTACAAGTTCCTCGACACCCATAGAGGTCAGGAAATCTTCCAAGAACTCGCCACCGAATTGAACCACGAGGGTCCCGCGGCCATGCTGGCGACCTTGACCACTCGCATGGCGAATGATTCTCAGTTGGAATCGTCCTGTCATCCTCTGGTACATCGATTGGGACGAGACTATATCTCGTCTCATTATCCTACTAGCAATTCCATATCCAACAGTCAGGATGATGGTAGTATACTGGAACAATGCTTGGACCATCTCTTGGACCAACCAGGAGCACCCCTGATTCGGACTTGCAATGCAGCCTACCTTCATGGCGTTATCGAACACTACTACTTACTCGAGCAAAAGCAACAAAAACAGAAACAACCAAACAACAACGTGACGGAGACAGAGCAGTTGCTACTACAACTTACGCGCGACGTGAATGACCAAGTCTGCCAACAGTTATTCGTCAACCCCAATTCCTCGGCATTGTCCAACAAATGGGAATGTCATCATGGCATTGGACATGGCATTCTACAATTCACACAACAGCTGCACGATAAACTGGCACTCCAGCAAGCCCTGCAAATCTGTCTATTGGCAGAGGATGTCGATACCACTATTTGTCATAATGGACTCTTTATGGAATACTGGGCCAACATGAGGCGCCTCACCACGTTCGATGATAACAACAACAACAATCATAGAATCCAACAGACGTGTCAAGGGAAGTCCCTTGCCTGTTCCATTTACGCCCCCACGGCCTATTTGTTGCAACATCCACGCGACTATGTCGGAGCCATCCGAGTCTGTCAACACGGATACGAACCAGCGCAGCAACTCCAGCATCAAATCATGTGCTATCAAGGAGTCGGAGTCCAAGCGGCCAAGGAAAACCTTGATGACTTTACACCGGTGGAAGCGGCCTGTTTGGCCGTCCCCAACAAGGGACTGCAAGCGGCGTGCATGTCCAAAGCGCTGACATACTACAAGGATTCGTTTGGTGTGGATTTTCTGCCCAAAGAACTCTGTGAACCACTTCAAGCCTTTCAATCCCTGTGTCAACGAATGTCAAATCGTTCCTGATGAGGATCGAATGAATGACTGATTCTTAGGAACGCTAGTTAGCTACATACATAATATTGGTTGAAACAAGCTGAGGTACTGTACGGTGGGATCCAAGAAGAATGAATGTTTTAACGCTAATGACTAGTTCACTATCCATCATCCACACAAGCTATCTACCAATACCGTACCGGTAGGTGCAACAGACAGTTCGTTGCTTAGTTGCATCGATCAAAAAAGGGTGTCTTGAAGTCACGTTGATGAATCCAGAGATTGGCCGCATACTTGACACCGTTCTTGACCGTAAAAGCGGCGTGTGCGGTACGGCGGTCTTGACTATCGGGGTTGCTCGAGTGGACGTTGGGGAAAAGAATGGCGGCACCCTTTTTGGGACGGATGGTCAAATCCATCACAGGAAAATAGGTTTCACCACCACTATTATACTCAGCATCGTTCAGGTAAATCAACATGGTCAGGGCTCGCACGCCCTGGGCACGATGCAAATCGGTAGGAATATAGTCGCTGTGGAGTTTGTACAATCCACCCTCCTCGTAACGAAGAATCTGAAAGAACTCCGAGTTCTTTTCAGGGACATTGGTGACATTGCCAATCTTGGCCAGGATTTGTTGCGTGATCTTGTCTTCGTAGCATCTATGGTTGTTGTGGTTTTGGGGGTGATGGCATGTGTAGTAGAGCAGAAATGAAGAAAGTGAGTGATCCCAAACTAAATCAAACAAGGCAGACAGCGCCAACAAAACAAGATGGCTTACTGTTTCTCCCAACACCAGGCATTAAAGCTGTTTCGGCTGTCGGAAGCCTTGGCTTTGTAGGTCCCATCAAAGTTTACTCCTTCGGCTTCGTAGGATTGTTTGTATCCCACAATACCACCCAAATAGATCAATCGGTCGCATTCCTCTTCGGTCAAAAAGTTCTCCAATGCCACTACCCATGGAAAATTCTTACCCTCTTCACTGGGATCTTTAAAGATGGGGACAAGTCCAGTTTGGGCTTCGGCAGGCTGGGAGAGAGCCACTGGTTTGTATTGTTTGTAGTGTGGATGCGTCATGATGTTTTCAAACATTTCATCGATATCACCCGCTTCAAAGGCTTTTGGTGCTCGTTCATTGACAGGACATCGAATGCGGTGATCCAGCTTTTCGCAGGTTTGGCAGGCTAAGTTAAGGCGCCGCATAAGACGGAGTGTTGTGGGTAAGCAACACTGTTGACTGATTAATCTCTTCTTCAATCAATGGGACAATACTCGTACTACTTACCAGGAGCGCAATTCACTTGCATCCATAGATGATTCTTTTGGCATTCTCCTTCGGTAGCCCATTTGCTGCAGAGTTTGTCTCGGTTAAAGCACTTGTCCTTGACGGAATGGTACATGGTCTTGGTCCGAATCTTGGTTGTCATGTACACATCGGCTTCTTGAACGAGCTTTTCAATGTCCGCGGCATTGTCTCCTGAGATTTCTTGGGGTTCTCCGTACTCATTGTCAAAGAACTTGAGATTGGCTGGACACGCATTGCAGCTCAATTTGCAATGAGCCAACATGTACACAGGCTTGGTCTTGCACTCTCCTCGAGCTGCTTTCTCCTCGCAATCGTCTCGATCGTCGAGGCACATGTTTGTCATGCTAGAGCCATCGTTGGAGGAAAGATTCGCTTGCGAGGATGCCTCTTCGGGGTTGAGGCAGGTACCATCATCGTTGGGATTCAAACAAGTTTTGAGGTCTCCTTCATTCCCATCTCCAGTACTGCGTGGCGGGTCATCCGAAACGGATCCAGCGGAAGCCAGGCAGCTACTGCTAGCCAAGATAATTGAAGCTACGAAGAGAAAGGAGAGTTTCGTCATCTTTCTTGTGCGGCTCCTTTTGTTTTGAAGTCTGGAGACAGGGTGGTTGTTTTGCCGATGAAGAAAAAGTGAGCAAGTGGAGTGCTCTGTTTGAATTAGTGTCATTAAGCCTTTGGGTACCGCATTGTTTCAATTATTAAACGCATCAGAGCTGTTCAAAGACAAGGCTTTTGAGCCACTTGGGGTGTGAACTCTGCTTTCCTTTTTTTGTGATGCCACCTTGGAGCCATGCATGTGCTACTCTCAGTGGCACAAATCAAGTCCATCAAGGCTACTGCCCAGTTCAAAAAGCGTTCTATCAGTGCTCTTGACCTTTCTGTCAGCCTGTCTTTTAGCACTGCCACTACTCCTGGCTGCTTGGTGAATCCATTGTCATGGAAGCTTCTGCGAGCATTCGGGAGACCTGCAGGTTTCAGTGTTCAGTGTGTCTATGGTGTCATGGCTACATGAGTTTTAGAGCTTGCTGATACTTGAGCATTCGAAGAAATGATACATGTAGCTAATGTCCTTCTCTGAATAATTGGTGTTGATAATTCTTTACTGGCCTAACATTATTTGCAGGAATCTTTCAGATACAGAACTGGTTGCCTGAGAGTGCTTCTTTGTAAGCTGAGCAGGGGGGGGGGCACTGGATCCTGTCCAACTAGCTAGCTAGTGGCACACTCGTGCCTGTGACCTCTAACAACGCACGATCACCCTCGAACCAATTGCGGTGGAAAGTCTTGCACCAGAACTTTGAGAGGAATGACACTGTCTTGTGTTTCTACTTGTGGCGAATCTGTTTGGTTTCAAGTCAAAAAGGTATCAAATAGTCATACCGCCATGCATCATCACCGGAATCAATGATGAATACGTGATCAGTGGACTTCTTCTGCAGCAATTGAAGCGTTTTCATGTTCTCATTGCTTCACCCTGTGGTACCTGGCAACAAACAGTAAGGAAGGAACAATGAGGGTCAGTATGGCAAGAAAGGCGACAATGAATACGTCCCAAAACTGGTAGCATTTTCAAACAGGCAAGCATACAAACAAAAGAGCTTCTGGATGGCTAGCTACTAGTTAACCGAGCAGGCTTACTAGACGAAACAGAGCACCATATCCAAAGAAATCGAATACTGGCAACGGGGCACCCAAAACCAATCAAGAATGTTGCGAGCTGATAGCACATGCAATCCAAAACTTCCTCGCGAAAGCGTACCCACCTTGTGAAACCCCGCCATTGTTGTCTGCTGGATTGTCCCTCCAGGTCCACCACCACGTCCGAGGATTTGCAGCTTGTGGACGACAAGCGTCTGCGTCCCAGTGACAGGGCCAGTCCCGTCAGCAGAGCAACTACCACTATAAGAATGCATGGAATCGTATTGGATTTCCGCCAAATGATGAGATCTGGCTGGACACCAATACGTGTAGCGCGACACGTGCTCTTGAGGCATGCCTGGAAGACGGTATGGACCGGTGGGCCCTTCGGCCCGATATCGTTGTTGGCGTCAAAGTAGCTACAGTCTGGATTGGACCAAGCGTGCCAGCTGTACATGGTGAATCCTTCGGAACAAAAGTCCGTGTTGGTGTGTGGCTGTTGTTGTTGATCCTCGTCTTCATCTTCTTCCTGACGGCGCTGAGGGCGCGCTTGTCGAAACAAAATGTGCCATGTCCGCCGTTCATTGGCACAAATGACGGATGCTGGATTGTCAATCGCATGATCGATGCCATGTTGGAGGCTGGAAAGGGATGGCAGCGAAATGACATTGTCAAAATCAATATTGATGACTGCGTTGTACCGAACAAAGTCATTCAGAAGGAGCTGTCTCTGGTTCGATCTTTCTGTGTAAATGTTGATTTTAGTGTTTTCTTGCGTAAAGGACGCGGAACATCCTTGCTGCACTAGCACGGCTTGTAGTTCATGCATGGCTTCGGTATCTCCTTGTTGATAAAAGATGTGTACGCGAACGCCTCCTTCATGCCCTTCATGATACCCATGACTTCTGGGACGTGTGGGATCATAGACGCGACATATTTCTTCGAGTTCCTTGTTGACAATCCAGTTTTGACTTAGCTCCTTGAGTGAGGTGGTCCAGCCCACCAAGAGGAGTCGTTTGGTGGGATAATTGGAAAAGTCGGTGTAATGGAGTTCCTCCATGGCGGCATCATAAAAGATGAAGGCCGGAATGGCAGCAAATGCCACCAGAACAAAGAGGAGGACCACGTAAAACACCCATTGAACACCACGAAGCTTGCTATTAATATTCCTTCTGCTGCCACTATTGCTCCTGATGCTTCTCATGGTTGGCTGCAGTCTTTGCTCGCCGTCGATTGTCAAGTTGCGTTGAAAAAGACGAGTGTTTCTTGTTTTGAAGTGATGAATGAGTGACAAAGCGGTAGCTTATGACTCGTCACATTATCGGACATTCCTGGGAATCCTCAGTAGCTACGCTAATTACCGTAGCTACGGTATCCATCGTCCACGTGCTAACTATCGAACATGAATTGGCGGTGGGTAGGGTAGAACCTTCGCTACTTGGCGATTGCAAATTTTGGGATGGCGGAGCCATTTCGAGACGAGCGCTTCAAAATTGGAGTGTCGGCTCGCTCTCTCGGCTTTTTCTTCTACCTTCGGAAATCAGCGAGCGATTTTTAGCGTGGAACTTCTGCCGCCAACACGTTCTCCACCACCATCCCTTAGCTTCCTCATCACGACCATCACAAGCAAACAGAGTAGCATCCACCTCCATCCGACCATGACGGAGCCAGCAGCCAAGACAGAGGAAGCTATTAGCAGTAGCAGCAGCACTAGTGCAGCCAATGATAATGTTCCCGCCACGGATCAATCGGATCAATCGGCTCAAGAAGCCATCACCTCAATAATGTCCAACGCCACAGCGGCCAGTGTGGAGTCTCGACAAGTGTTGGCACTGCGTACAAATGATACCACTACGACTCTCACCAATCCATGGAATGTATCACCAGCCGTCACGTCTTCTCAAAGTGAAGCATCCGAGACGAGGGTTCCCAAAGAACCCGACAACAAGATAGATCTGGTAGCAGCAGCGGCGGAACCATCCACGATGGTGGGGATCAAGAGATCCAATAGCAACCCAGCGCTGCTCCCACAACAAGCACAACAATGGCACCCACAGCAACCACAACAAGAAGAGCCCAGTATTCCACAAACGTTTTCGTTACCCGTCAGTGCCATGAACTACACACCAGCCCAAGGAGAACCCAATAAGGAAGCAGAAGATACCAAGGAAGTAAATCATGTCCGATTCAGTGACAGTACGGCAGCTCCAGATTCGGTTCCTCCCACACCCACCAACAACAACAAGAATAGTCATACTCATCTTACTGTGGATACCAGTGACTTGCAAGCTCTCAACTCTTCGGGCAGTGTCAGCACGGACTACCAAGAAGGAGGCCGACTCTGGCAAGCGGCACTGGAAGAGGCGGAGAAACGCAATGAAATCTTAGCCAACAAGAAAAAGACACGGAATCGAATTACCGAATCCATCATGGAACGAACACGGTCTAGGGCTGATCCCAATGCCTTGATTACCACATCCTCGACAGCCACACCCATTGGGGCAGGTAAGCTGACTGTTTCTTTGTTTGGAGCTTACTGGTACAGTGGTGGTGGTACTGACGACTTTTGTCATTCCCTCTTTTGCTTATTCGTTGTATCCATCCTTCAGGAAAACCGTCCTCCACCATGGTGTCACTGGGAGGCGACCACGAGAGTTCTTTCATTCTATCCACGGCACTTGCCAAGAAACGAGTCCGGGTAGTACAGTTGCTACTCATTGGACTGGTCGGACTCCTTCTAGGCTTGCTGGGAAACTTTTTTGTTTCCACTTCCTGCCACTTTGCGTCCGTCTCGATTACAGTAGGACAGAATGAACAAACCTTTGACTTTCATTTTGGTCTGTGGAAGTACTCTCCCATTGACAGTGTCTTTCAGGGATATCCCTACTGCTACAAGTATGACCAAAACTATGCCGCCGAAGCACCCCTCGTGGCACGGGCTGCCAATATCACAGCCTTGCTAGCCGGTTTGATCTCCTTGAGTGTCTTGTGGTTGTATCTCATCTTTGGTACCACCAACAAGAGACGGTGGAAATGGGCCGTGCGAATGGCCATCTTTGCTGGATTGATACAACTGGGGACACTATACTTCTTCCTTGGAACGCTCTGCCAGGAATACTCTTGTCAACTGGGTCTTGGGGCCTACCTTTCCATGTTTACCAGTGTGGTATGGTTTGTTCTGGCTATGGAAATGCAATATCACATGCCAGTGGCCATTTATGCCTCGTCGGGAGGTAGCGGTATGGCAGGACCTGCAGCCTTGGAAGAACCTCACGCCTTGGTGGCTCAAATGGAAATGACGTCTTGTATGGGTGACGTGACACGAGAGTATGTCACGAGAGTGACGGGCAAAGACAAGGACATGGATAATCTTCAGAACTTGTCACGGGCACAGCAACAGCAGCAGCGAAGAACACGACCCTCTCCCTGTGGATTGTATTCCCCCACCAATGCTTGTGGCTTTTACAATGGTGGCAACTATATACCGAGTCCAACCAAAGGGACCTATCAAGCCCCGGATCCAACTCTATTGGAAGAAGCATTGGCCACACCGAGTAGCCGGAATCAATAGCAAGACACAAGAGCGTGCAGTCCGTGGAGGCCTACGCACTCACACACATCTCCTTATCTCCGAGTTCCATTTACATTTCACTAACAAAGTAACGCTATAGAATGTTCTTTCATAGATGTTTTTACCGGAACGATACTAGTACCCTTACAAGAAAGTTCATTGTGTGAACGGTTCTGTTGGCCATACCGGTATCTGTGTGGACATTTGCAGGGACAATCCTATGTGCACTTACCAACGCTACCGGTAGCTGCTACTAGTAGAGGGGTAGCTAGCTACCACAGGGCTCATGCCAAGCTGAAGATCAGAATCAAGTGGATTGGTTAAATCATTCTTCATGAAAATCTGCTGTGCTAGTGCTAGACGAAGCCGAGAAGAAGGTAAAGCGACGCGTGCGATTTGAAGACAGTCACAAGTTGATCTGGACGGTTTTTGAGCCGTAGAGCTGCGTGTGTCGCAGTTTTTGAAGCAGCCAGCAACCGCCGAGTGTACCCGCAACGCTTGCTGCCACAGAGGCCTAGCTACTTTGGACGACGATCTGCTGTCAGGCAATCTCCGCGGAGAATTGCAAACTTTGAAACCCTTTTACCAACTATTAAACACGATCCGAGCAGGAAGGTTCCATTTGGTACCGGTAGGGCTGTGAAGGATACAGATGTGGAAGTTTCTCCATAACTCTACGTTATCTGTTACAGAACTGCAACTACGAGTATACTTCAAACATCTTGGGCTAGCTAGTCTTCTAAAGTGCTTGTAGGAATCGTACGGTAGCCGAGGCAAAGGCAGCTTCCATAGATTGTCGGAAGTGCAGAAAGAAATGAACGCGCGACTGAAGATCCGCTTTACCACCGACAGAGACTCAAGAATACAGCGAGCTAGCTACTAGTAGTAGTAGATACACGGCTATTGGTACTCTTGCTTGTTTGTGTATGATGCCACTAATATAGTAGGAGTTTTCTACTTGTAAGCACTGCATTTGAGGTGCTGACTTGTTCGTTGCTACTTTCTCACACTTTTATACTGCTTCCAGTCAGCACGCACCAGGGACAATTGAGGAAAAATGATAGAGCTTATACAGTTTGACTTGTGACACAAAGAAAGAACACCTAATCCAGGACAAGACACAAGATTTACCCAATAACTTCCTAAGAAAAGTTACGGTTTCTTCTTCTGCTTGTTTTGAAACGGATGCACTGCTGTGAATCCTTCTGCAATGGCAGCCTGCTGTCCTTCGCGGCCTTGGGCCAGCGGCGCTCCTTCAACCGGGTCAGCCAATGCTACAGCTCGGTATGTTTCCCAGTTCATACGAAGGATTTCAAGTTCTCCGCTTTCGCGGTACCCTCCTTCAATGTTGTTATCTTCCGCAAATTTTTGAATGACTGGCTTGAGAGCCGGTAGCTTGCTTCTGGGCATGCTTGGAAAGAGATGATGCTCAATCTGGTACTGCATGCCGCCCCAAATCCAAGAGGAGATGGGGTTTGACATGACGACGCTTCTAGTACACAAGAACTGTCTTGTGACGTGATCTGGAATGTACTCTGTGAACTTTTCTTCCGATTGATGAGTGGATGTCACGACAAAAGCCGAAATGACACCGCTGAGAAAGACGGCCGGGATGAAGACTTGCAACGGAAAGAGCGCAAAAATGACCACGTAGTGAGCAAAGACGCTGTAGAGTTCACTCTGTGCACCGGGGCGTTTCAACTCGAGGGCATGAAAGGCTGCCGTAAGAGAGTCGAATCTCCAAAGAGCAAAGAGGAAGGAAAAGGGGACCCAAAAGACGTAGTGCTGTACTCTGCGGAACCAAGAGTCTTGGCTTGGATCAGGTGCCCAGGTATATAGGATTGGATCCGTGGCCATGTCCTCGTCTACTCCAATCTCGTTGGCTGTGGCCGCGTCAAAATCAGGCAGTACAAGTGAGTGAGAGTGGGGGGAGGGTATCACATGAAAGATTGGACAAGCTCAGATACTTACTCAGTGCGTGATGTTTGTTGTGTTTATCCGACCACCATCGACCACTAAGGCCGGTAGTAAGGGGGAGAAAGTTCCTCATGGACTTGGAGAACTTGTCTAGACCGTGAATGTAATCATGTCCGAGCCATCCTCCACCTACAAAGGACAATCCCAACAAGACAAAGGACACGAGTGGGATAGTCTTGGCCGTTGCCACAGCACCCAAGAAGAGACTGGCCCAGATGCTTAGTTGCATAACCTCGAATCCAACATCTCGTTCCCACCATCCTTCTGCCAGGAGCTTGTCAAAGAGTTCCCTAAATGCGATTTGTACATCGGAATCTGGCGCTGCATTTGCTTCCAATTCGGCCGCCACGTCGGCTTTTGCTTTGGGAAGACGTGTGGTCATTTGGCGACTGTGTGTACTGTGCAATCCATCAATTATCTCTGTGGCGTCTCGTTTATCAAACCAATCCAACCAATGTGCACCAGCCGAATGAGCCCTTCTCCATTTGGTGACGTCATACCAAGTGCCTCGGTATCGAATGTTGACCAGTGTCGATGGTGGAGTCTTCTTTTGCTGTTGTGATGGCTTTGCCTGACTCTTTGTGCTATTATCTTGAATAGAAGATTGGTTGGGTGATGACAAGTTGTCGTCATTGGCACTCGAAGGAGGAGAATTGCCAGCTACCAGATCTTCGGTATCAGGGCTCTGGTCATTTTCGTACCCCAATGAGGTTGACGTTGGCAACCATGAGGATGTTGAGTGTGGCGTTCTGCTGCTACTGTAACTGCCTCTTGTCTGGATTGGCGTAATCCGTTGTGGTTGCACAAAAGACTGAACCAGCGGCAAATGGGATGATGTTACCGCTAGCAATGATAACACAACTATAGTAGTTCTCCCAGACGATTGTCGAGGTCTCTGCCGTGATGCACTATTAGTTTCCTCATGAGGCCTCCTGTTACGGCTCCTCCAAGCTGAGGACCTCATGGTGGTGTGCTGTGGGGGATGATACCGGTGTAGCTCTTGCTGTACAGTACTGCACCGCACGGGGTATCTTAGAGACAGTAAAAAAATGATCTCAATTAGCGATGGCGCTTCGGCCGAGCAAGGCGTGCAAACCGAAACAATGTGTGCATGGCTGGAGCCGATGATTGCCTAATTACCACTTTGAACCATCGCAAGTTCGATTGGCCACCTCGCTTGAGTTCGTTTACCCCAGACCCGCGATATAGGGCTCCCATGGAACAAGGATTATATCTCCTGGGTCTGTGCATCCCACAGGTAGCTGTGACTCTGGGGACATGTATTAGCACGGCCAAATTTTGGATGGGGAACCAGCAACCGATTGGAAGGCGGCAAACCGCATCCGAACAGCAATTTCTTGACTGCTTTCGGTCGCGAATTTCTGAAAGGCATAAACTTTCTAGAAATCCCTTCCTCGCTGGCCTTTCCATCTTCAATTTCTGTCCTGGCAATGCTAACCCAGAATGTGACATCCGAACGTTCTTAGAAAGGTGTGACAGCGACAGGGCTCAGGCTATCCTGGGACGAAGCAAGTGGTCAAGCTTACAGATTTGTCGCCCATTTGCCGGTCAAGGATTCTGGGGAAGCTTCCAGAGAGGCATAAAAGCAAGTGTGCGCGGTACCGAAGATCATGCTGGTACCGTACGGTACGGCCGGGCCGAAGCTCATGGAACTCCTGGCTACGGCACCCTGGACCGTCCACCCTGGACCGGCCAATGGGGACTAAGCAGCAACACTTTTATGCTCAGGTTCACGTCCGTGCTATGGCGGCACCGTACGTTGAAGCGTTGAAACCCATGGTCCCTGAAGCCACAGAAAGCAACGGCGTGCCAAGATCCTGATGAGCCTGAGTAAGCAAGCAACTTTCCTATGAAGGCGACACGTGTAGAGGCTACTAAGAATCCTTGACAAAATCTCGTCATGTACTGGTACCATAGAACAAAAGGAAGACTTAGAGTAGTACAAAGACACATAAAAGCCAAGTAGATTGTTGGTTGGATCTCTTCTAGTTCATCCCAAAGAAACAGGAAGACTGCACTGTGTGGGCAAACTTCTCTCGCGGCATTTACCGCTGCGAGGTTGAACTTCTCTTTGTTTGTAGGTATGGGCTTGGATCTTTTCCGGTTTTCCATTCCCGCTTACTGTATTGCATGCCCTATAATAAGGAAGGTCGTCTCGCCCGAAGGACGCTGATCTGTGCTCGAAGAACGTTTGAGGTTGGCTTGATCCTATTCCCCGAACATACAGTTGCCCTGAATTGCGCTGACTTCGACAAAAACCGCATACCCTTCATTGCACCTGAGTTTCGTTGCATTCACGCACTGATTCGATTCATTCATGCACTCGTCGTTTTCCCCGTGCGGACAATGGGTGTTGGGTTTCGGAAATTGGAGTCTGTTTTCACACTCAGGTAGAACAATACCAGACCAACAAAGCAAAGATCCACTCCAGCAGCGTACAGAAACGTCCAGACAGTTCCAACCTTTGACTGCAACTTTCCTCCAATGATAGCTCCCAGGGACTGCCCGAGACCACCGTACATGGCATTCAAGAACATCAACTGTGGTGCATGACGGTAGAACAAAAACGAACAGTACAAAGGTGTCGATGAGACAACCGACTTCCAACGCAACGCAATCCAATCCAATCCAACATTGCCGTGCCATTCAATCGTATGGTTGTTTATCTTGACTTACCATGGTAGCATGCAACCCGGGCGGTGAAATACGATGTGCATAGATTGTGCCAGTACTCCAAAAGGCGGCAAATGTGATTCCACGCAATGCTTCCGCGGGCAACCCATGCAGTGGGTGTCTCATGGAGGCGTAAATGGCAAATCGAACCACATAGCTGAGCAAGCTAGCCACCAACACTCGATCGGCTCCCAACTTTTGGGTCAGAGACCCCGAGAACCAAAACATGGGAGCTCCTGCAATGCTGGATACCAGACGACTCAAACCCATGTCCTTGCCACTGCCACCCACTTCACGAATGCGTACATAGGCAAAGTTTTCAATGACACCACTGGAAACACCCACCACGAAAATCAAAAAGAAAAAGAAGAGGGCATCTCCATTGTGAACCAATAGATTCAAACCTTCTTGTATGAGAGCCCCTCCTTTTCCTCCTTCACTACCATTCTTTGGTTTGTCCAGCTGTTTTTGTTGTTGTTGTTTCTCGACTTTGGCATCCTTGTCCAGTTGTTGGAACTTGAGAATGGCTAGCCACGTTGGAATCGACAGTGCCGCATGGGTCAAAAACAGCAATCGATACCCCGTGATGGCCTGCCAGAACTTATCGGCAACGGAAATGAATTTCTGCACCGCCATTGGAAGTTTGGCAATGGATTCGGTCCAACTGGCTGGAATGGATGTGGCAGTACTGGATATGACTCCCTTGCTTCGACTGAGCAATACACCGACTCCACTGCTACCCAAGCCAAAGCCCATTTGACCCCATAATCGGAGTCTCCCATAGCGAGATTGATCGTGAATGTGGTCCATGACCATGGAATCAATCAAGGATTTGACGGGTGCATTGAACAAGGCTGTCAGGAACACCATGATCATAATGTAGCGATAATCATGACTTGCCGCCACTAGCAATTGTCCCACGAGGGATACCAAAAAGGTCACCTTTAAGATGGCAAAGGGTGCCTGTGTTTGATCGGCAACGAGTCCCCAAAAGGGAGCCACAATAAAGGTCGTCAGGGGCTTGACGGCCCCCAACATTCCAATAATCTGTCCACCATGTCCCAGAGAATGATAATAGACGGGTAGATAGGGAAGTAGGGCTCCCAGGGAGGAATAATAGGAGAGAAACAGAATCCGAATCAGGAACAAGATTTGTGGATCATCCTCTTCCTGCTGTGGGGGAGAAACTTGGTGATTATTTTCGTCTTTCGTTGTCAGTTCGGTTGACGGACTAACTTTGTTTTCATTGGGAATTGGGTGATGTTCCGGATTATTTGGCTTGGCAGCAGGAGATGCCTGTTCTTGTGGCTTGTCGCTGGGATTGGCCTGAATGGCACTGGCAATCAGACTGGTCGCCACGGCTGGAGATGCCGTGCTTCCACCACCTCGACAGCTCAACATCCAATGTCTGCTGCAGGATGATAAGGACAGAAGAGGCTTCTCTCGAACGGGCCCCCAGGCATGCGTTGCGCGGGGAATGAGCAGAAACACAAAAAGACCGAGGGCCCAAGGGCGATCCCGTCTGTGGGTACATTGTTGTTGGTTTATTCTCAAAAGCATGTCTGTCATCTTCTCTACCTCTTTTTTCTTTTGACGAGGAAGAGTATTACTTGGGACTACGCAAAGATTCGGATCGGTGGCAGTGGTCTTGTCTTTCTGGATTCAATTCCTTAACAATTAGTTGTGGTAGCTTGTGTGACCGGATCACGAAAAGCTGCACTGGATGCCGGCTGATTCACACTGGACTCGACTCTGGTGGGCTTGCTAACAAGATCCCTCTTGCAATGAAAGACAACCTGGTTGTACCGATGGATGCACCTCCCTGATGGGAAACTTATTCTGAGATGATGCTTCTCTTGGCTTGATGGAAAATGAGGCAAAACGATTGGGACGAGAAGCAACGGCATTTTCGGAACAACCGCCTGACGAGGGACAGATTTCATTGGTGCAGCAGGGTTCGGAAGGGCAATTCCACGCGGAGCTGATTCCAAAAATTCGTTTTGGGGACTCGACATGATCTCGAATGATGAATCAATGATCAATCTAAAGCTACCCTTCCTGTTCCCTCTCCTCCTCTAGCTAGGTCGGTGGTTTGGCACTAGCTAGTCTAGCAAGCTCTATCTGGAAGCTTACCGGGTAGCTACCGCTCCTAGCTAGGAGATAGATGTTTAATATTCAATAGCTAATGACGGCATGAGATGCAAAAGAGGAAGTGTGACAGCACTACTGAGCAATCAAAGATATGGGGGCTAGAGTGGGAAAACGTGCAATCTTAACCACCAACCGAGAATCGAATCGCAGGGACCCTTTTAATAAAATTGAAGTGCCATGAAGGAGAAGGAGTAGGTTGGGTGTGCAGGGCTACCGAACATACCGTATTTGAGCACCATTGTCATCTTCTCTCAGAGGAGGTACGATCCCAGTAACGCTTCGCACCACGTGGGATGGACTTCCAGCTCTGCTGGTTGGCTTCAAAGATCCAACGGATACGAACCCGAACTCCAACTGAACACAGCTCGGAAGACCACATCGGGTGGTCCACGGTCAACAATTCAGTTTCGTTGTCATCCTTGTGGATACCCTACCGTACCGAGTGAGAGTCCTTTGCTGCTTGGTTGATCCATCCATAGTCTCGAAGGAATACCCGTCGCTTTATTAGTGGTGCTGGGATCCAACTATTACCGGTAGGATTGCTGGTGGGTGCCAAACAAAAAGAGTAGACAATCTCATTGTACGAATCTAGAGCAAAAACTGATCGTGGAAGAAGAAAATGACCCTTGGAAGAACCGTCCAGTTGGGACTCTTGCAGGCCGTAGTGTTCTTTTTGGCCTTGAGTGCGGCGCAGGAATGTGATTCCAGTGGAAATTGTGATGCTCATGAGCGATGCAAAGCGTGGGTTGGTAAGTCTCAAGACATAGATGAGATAGATGGGGTATTATTGTTTGCTGTCATCATCTGCTCTAACTAATTGGTCTTGTCTTTTATTACGAATTCATCACAGAGGAAGGCGAGTGCGTCAGGTGAGTTTGTTTGGGTTCTCAAGCATGTATCTAGCTAGCTAGCCACGGTAGAAGGCCAGTTTTCCTCATGACAATTAATTTTCCGTCTCGATTGATTGATTAGAAACCGAGCCTACATGGCCAAGCATTGCCCTGTGGCTTGCAAAGACGATCCCAACAAAAATGTCAAATTCACCAGTGAATGCAAGGATTTGCATCCACGATGTCCCGTATGGAGAGATTTGGGAGAATGTGAGGAAAATCCAGGGGATATGACTCGATACTGCAGAAAAAGCTGCAAAAAGTGCAAGGAAGACCAAGAAGCAGAAGAAGACGACGATGGGTGTGCCGACAAGAATGATAATTGTCCCTTTTGGGCATCCAAAGGGGAATGCCAGGCAAATCCTGGATACATGGAGGTGAATTGTCCCAAGAGCTGCAATGCCTGTGAAAAAGTCTATGGTAAAAAGCCACGAAAATTGGAAGCCGCTGGCACTTCCGATGATCGTAGAAAAGAGCGGCTGTTGGACTGGAGTGAAGAGGTGGGAGTGCGACAAAGTGCTGTAGGATCCGAAACAGAAAACACATTGCTCAGGATTGTAGCTTCCAAAAAATACTGGGAAGGAGAGGCACATGAAGCCTTGCCTAAAGATCTGATTGCCCGGTGTCGCAATCTTCATGAGTTATGTACCTTCTGGGCTTACTTGGGTAGGTTTGTTTTCTATTGTTGAAAAGGTACATCCGTGCATTCGTTTCCATGCAAATTGAGGTTCGCTCAACTTTTTCCTTCCTTGCTGTGTGCTGTGGGATTGCTCTGATACAGGTGAATGTGAAAAGAACCCGGCATACATGGTAAGTTGGTTCATTCTTTATGATATGACGAGACGATTTTCGTAAAATGATGCTTTGGTTCCTCAACTTGTGCCTTTTTGTGGGGTTGCTTTGGAATAGGCTACAAATTGCGGACCAGCTTGCCACTCTTGCCATCTCATTGATATCAAAACACGTTGTCCACCCCTTGAAGATGCCAGGCCTGGGCTTCGACCTGGGGCACTCAACAAAATGTTCGAACGGATTGTCAGAACAGCTCCTGGAAACAACACGGAGGACTCCTGGACTGATGATGTCAAACAAAGCATGGAGGAACTAGGGACGCCGCCTTACACTGTCACGGTACACTCTCGTCCCAGTGAAGAACCAGCCACAGATGTAGACCCTGTCTTGGACAAATCGCTGCCACCTTGGGTGATTACATTCGACAATTTCATGACAGACGAGGAGTGTGAGGCAATGATTCAGCTAGGTTACAAATATGAATACAAACGATCTGAGGATGTGGGAGAGGAGAAGGCTGATGGGACCTTTGGATCTGTAAAAAGCTCTCGGCGTACTTCAGAAAATGCATGGTGCTCTAGCCACGGTGGTTGTCGTGCTGAAGAAATCCCCAGTCGTATTCATGAACGAATTTCCAGGGTGATGGATATTCCGGCAGTGAACAGTGAAGACTTCCAGATCTTGAGATATGAAAAGAATCAGTTCTATCGAACACACCATGACTACATCCCACACCAAAAGGACAGACAGTGCGGACCACGCATTCTTACTTTCTTCATGTACTTGAGCGATGTGGAAAAGGGTGGAGGTACAAACTTTCCTCAACTAGACATCACAGTCCAGCCCAAGAGAGGCAGGGCGTTGCTATGGCCCAGTGTCTATGATTCGGATCCCATGAAGATGGATTCTAGGTTTTACCACCAGGCATTGTCAGTCGAGGAAGGCACCAAGTATGCCTTTAATGGCTGGATTCATATGTATGACTACGTGGAGCCACAAGCCACAGGATGCAACTAGTTGGATTAACTGCAACAATTCGCTCCTTGGGCTTCAGTGCTTGGCCTCAACAACAATTCGATTCGAAGAGCAGTAACGATGAAAATTCTATTAGAGAACAACGATTAGAAACAGAAGAACACTGTTGGATTGCCATTGCGCTTTAGGGGCTTGATCTATCTGTCTAGGGACAGAATCTTTTCTACCAAGCTAGCCAGCTAGAGTAGTGAAACTGGGCGTAGCCCCTTCGGGCAACTGTCGGACAAAAGACAACTCTCATGTCTTCTCAGATATGGCTTGTGACTCAGTGAACCCTGGAAACTACAACAGCTATTGGTTGGTCCCCTTCAGAAGAGAGCTCTTCGGTTACCCTTCTAATAAGGCTACCCGTATTTGCTAGCTAGCAGGATTCATAGTGAACCCTTGAAAATGCATGGTCGTTCGCGGAGACCACTGCAGGCTATGCCATTCGCTGTTGCAGCATGTCATTTTTCCTTTGCAACTCTGCCACGGCCAGGTTCAGTTCCGCCACCTCTTTTTCTGCACGTGTGGCGCGTTCTTCAGCTTTTTCGTACCTCGTCCTAGAGTCTGATAGTACCTGCCGAAGATCTGCCGAACCCAAAGCCGCCGCGGCCGCATTCCGAACTTGCTCGTTGTTGGTTTGCACTAGCTGGCACAACAACGGGAAGGACGACACAATCAAACTCTCGAGCCCCACATTTTCTTGAAACGCCTTGCAAACCATGAGGAACGTATCCACTGAGACATCGTCCTTTTTGGTGTCTCCACCATCAGACTGTTTCACTGTTGCAATAGCGTCAGTGAAAGCCTTGTCAGTGATCGCGAGTAGAGCTGGATCGTCTGACTTCTTTCTGCACATTCCCGAGTAGCAGGTCTTGAACACCAGCAAGGCATCCTCGCGATACTTGACACGTTTTCGATGCAACTCTCCTTCGTTCATTTCCTCTCCTTTCGTTCTGTTGGCTTGTTCTACTTTCAATGCCTCGGCCGCGCCTTCGGACAATGCAGCACAAAGATCGCCGACTGAGTCGGAGGGTACAAATTCAATCGACAAACCCACAACTTCCAGGACTTCTTGTGCGCGGGATATCTTCAGCAAATCGGTTGCATCTGGTATGGGTGACAACATGTAAACCAACGTCTGACGGAGCTTTCTCCAAATATCGTCAACAAGTTTCCATTCAGCTGATTGGTCGGAAGTGGTAGTTTCCTTCAAAGCCTCTCTGAAGTTCATCTTTATGGATCCCTGAAGACCCTCGCGCAAAACAGGCAGGAAATGCTTGTAGTATGCCTTTCTCCTTCCTTCGCTTTTTCGGTCTGACTTGATGACATCCACAGGGAACTGCGAAAGCGCCAGCCACAACGAGAGAGCCTTGCATGTATCCGACACTGCTTCTCCAGGGAGCTCATCCGCTACTACAGATGCCAACTCACACGATATCAAATTTGCGGCTGCTTGCCGAAGAGAAAGCATGTAAGAGAATTGCTCTCAGAGTTGCCAGTGGGAGCATCGAAGAACTTACCGCTTTGCTCATTTGCTGATGAAGCCTTGTCTTCATCCTTTCGACTGTGGGAGACACGAAATGAGCTCGGTCGGATCAAGCCAAGCCAAAGAGTCGAATCCAAACTTACAAGAAAAGCCACGATCCGGCCACTTCCACAGCGCTCAGCAGCGCCTCTGACGAACCATACCGAATCATCGTTCGCAGAAGGTCAATCGCTGATCGTTGAGCTGGCGACAAGAAACGAGGGCCTCCAGAAGCTGACCTCAGGACTGTTGTCAGCATTCCCACAAAAATCGACTCGGGGTGAGCTTCAGGAGCTTCAGATGGCTTCACAAAGTATTTGATCAGAGCCTGCTTGTCACCGAGGTCGCCCTTTTGAGATAACTCATCGTCTTTGCAACATTCGTACAGACTACCAAGGCACGCGATGAACTTTTGCATGACTTGAACCTGTGTTGCTTCCATTGCTGAAGCATTCTTGCGTTTCTCTGACGTTTCAATGAATTCTCGGTAGCTCTCCATTTGGTTGAGTGCACTTGCGAACAGGGCCTCGCGGCATTCATCGACGACCTTTGAGTGTGTCCGCTTGAACGAGTCCTTTCCAGCGTCTTGTGCACTAGGAGACTCATCCATTTCCCGCAATGCTCCATCGATCACTTGCATTTTAGCTCCCACTTTGGCTGGTGTTAAGGCAGCTTGGATACCATCTCTACAAGAAAGCTGTCCGCAAAGGACCAGCAGCTCTACCCCTGCATATCTCAAGTCCAAGTTTTCTCTTCCTCCTTCTTGGACTGCTGCCTCGAGCGCACATTCGAGAATCTTGGACCATGCCTTAACTAGCCAAAGGTCGTTACGCTTCTCGCCGCCTTCACTTTCTTCCGTTGATTCTTCCACTGAACCAGAAAGCTCCTCGTCTGTTTCTTCCTCTTCGTACGAGCTCCCGTCTGCATCGTCACTATCCGATTCTTCTTCGTCGTCGTCGCTCTCTTCATCATCGTCTGAGTCGTCGTCATCATCTTCTGCGTCGTCATCATCTTCTTCGTGCTTTTCGGACGATTTGTTGCTGCTGACAGATACAGCACCTGTCCCAGTCGACGCCTCATTTTCGAGATGATCGAGTATCTGTGAGAAAAATGTCCGAAGAACGCGACTGAGGCCCTGCAGCGTGAGGACTTGCGTCGCGATCCATTGTTTGCCAGCCGAATCTCTGGAATGATGAACGTTTACTTTGTATCTCGATTTGCGTTTTTCAATCGAGTTGCCATCAAGGTCAACTTTGCCATCCCCGCTGTCGCTTGCCTTTTCAACCACAAGGTCGTACACCCCGAAGACTGTATCGTTGATACAAGATTGCCATCGCGTAGCCGTGAAACCTTTTCCGCGTCCGACAATGCAGGAAAACAGCGTGTTGACGGAACAGTTTCTAACCTGTAGGAGCAGAAAAAAGTCAGAGGGCGACACAAACAAACAAAGATCTCGAGAACCCTCCGAAGTCCAATGGGCAATACCTACCTCAGGACGGCTGTCGGACGCAAGTGCCACCAACTTCGACAGAGCACGCTTCGAAACCCAACGCAGCAAGAATTGGATGGTGAGACTTGACCTTGGCAATCACCAAAGCAGCTTAATCGTGCCAAAGGCAATGGGAGACTTACATCAACCGCGTCTGCTCCTCCGTCTTTGTCAGCTATAGTCCACAGGAGCCCGATTGCGGTGAGTGACGTGTTGACATCATGTCGCGATCTCGCGTAAGACCAACAGCAATCTAGCAAAGAGCTTCGGGCGTCTGCTCCGCTCTCCGATGGTGGCGGAAACAAATCCAAAAAGTCATCAACAATCAACTTGAGACATCTGAACCCCAGCATACAACAGCTCGACCAGTCAGCACCCTTTCTTTCAGTTGTAGCCCCTGATAAAGAAGCGACCGCGCTGGCGATTACATCCCAAACTCCACCCTTTAGAGTGTGACCAACGTTCTCAAGGATGGAAGTAAGAACCGTGATGGCTGCCTCCGCAACAACTGCGGATTCTACCGTTTGAATGCATTCGCAAATAGGACCGAACAGAATTGCCTGTGAAACATTTTCGTTCTGAACAGCTCTCTCAGTTGATTTGGATGGCTCCACTGCTAGCAGTTGGTGCTGCTTCGGATCTGCAAAGACAACCTTGGCTGGCGACGAAAAAGAGAGGGGATTTTCTTCTGTCGCGGCTTCTGCCAATATTAGCATTGCTACTGTATCCATGACAGAAACTCTGATTGTCGGGCATACTGAAGCAAAGCTGCAGAGATGCTTCGATATTGGAGCAATGCAAACTTCATATCGAAATGAGTTCGTCATGGCTACGTCCGCAAGCAAAGCCATGCCAAAGGGAAGCATAGCAACATGGTCAGGTCGCAAGGAAGCGGTAGTTGTCGCCTCAAGCCTCCTGACATAGTCATTTCTGTAAGCCTCATAGTAGGAAGACTTGGTTCGTTTTGCAATCGGCATCTCGTCCACGCCATTGTGTTCGCTCGTTTCGCCTGATGATTGCGCGCCATAGATTGCTCTTACACCCAAGTTGACGAGCTTCCCCCCAATGGACGATTCTTTCCCTTCTTCTGAGCTTTTCTCTCCAGGTTTGGGAAGCTCCGAGGTAACCAGTACTCGATCCAAAACTGTATTGCCGTTTGTCATGTCTAGATTGCGCTTTTGAGTTGCCGAACTTGAAACGGTCGCCAGTGCATCTATGAATTCTCGCAACGACTCATCTGAGAAACAGGTTGAGAATGAAGCAAATCGTCCATACACGGCAGATATTGCTAGAGCTGCGTGATACAGTTGATCTGACAAAAAGGGCGAAGCAATAGTCATCACTGATAGCTCCTCAAAGGTGAGCAGAACCATGTCCCACTCGGACAGAATATCATCGTAGTGGGAGTGAACGATTCGGAGTAGGCATATCAGTGCTCGAACGTGATGGTTGCGCAATTGACTGCGGCCAATGAAACAAGGATCAGCTATGATGAGAGCTGGTATGCAGGGATTGGACAGAACGCAGATGGCTTACCTGGAAGAATCGTGTTTTCCCCATGCTGGTAGCGCCATTTTGCACAAGGATGTGAGCAGCGCTTTGCGTTTGAAACTTCGCCCGGGAGTTGTGGAGGGCATGCAGAGATTGGACAAATGCGCATACCCATTCAATGCTAGACGCGTCACATCCCGAGACCCCGGACACCGTTTCACAAAATGTTGCAAGGTTTCCAAACAAGGCTCGAAGAGGCCCTCACTGTAGGATTCGAGAATGTCTGGTGCCGTGCTGGGAAGCACCGAACAGACAATCTCCAGAATGCCGTGAAAGGCAATCCACAACGTCTCGCCCATGACTAGCACATCGTGAGGACTTGTGGGGGACGAGGACGAAGATGCTGCGGATTGTTTCTTGTCTCCCGACGATCTGTTGTTGACATTATTGCTGTCATCAAAAAGAGATGCCCCTGACTTGACCAGTTGTTCGGCCCGAATATACAACATGGCATCAATCTCCGTTGGCGTTTTATGATCGTCGTCTCGTGATATGCTCCGCAACAAGAGATCATTCTTGGCAATTTTTTCGCCCCCCGCGCTGTTGGTGTTGTTGTTGTTTCCATTGTTGCGGCAGACATCCACCAGCTGCAAAATGTGACTCTGACAGGCGGCACCAATGGTAGAGAATTCATTGAGACTTTCGGTCAAGACTACAATGGTGTCTCGATCGAGCACTTGGGAAAGTGCCTTGGCTCGTGTGCACGGTGTTCGTGCACTACTCTGCAAGAGGACATGATACACCGTTTCGACTGCCAACCCCGCTTTCCACATGACAGCATTGGGTAACAAACACGAGTGTGTCTTGGTTTCCTGGTTGTAGCCTTCGGTCGCTGCCAATCTGCGACTGGATCGGGGTTGTGGATGATTGGATCCAGCCAGTGTCGTACTGGAAGCGGAAGTTGTACTACTGTTTTCGTCCAGGTACACAAATCCATCGTCAAAATCGTTCTTGGATCGACAGACTTCACATGCGGTATGAATGGGCTTAATGACGTGCATGAGGAGTTCTCGACATTCCATGGTGGCATCGGATTGGGTTTGCAATACAACCAGAGTCCATTGAAAGACGCGCAGTGTCTTGGCCAAATTATTGTTATTATTGTCGGATGTATTGGTGGTAGCCTGCAACAATAATGCAACTGTAACTCCCATGGTCTTTCCGAGTAGTTTGTCGTTTTTAGCCAATAGTGTTGGATGTTCTTGCAGACAGGTGGCCATGAGTTCCAGCGCAAATTCAGGGGGTGGCGGAGGCGGTGCTTTGGACGACGAGGTATCCAAACGACACTGTGAGAAAGCTCCGTGCAATGCGGGTGCTTTCTTTTTGGCGGGCACGTAGGATGCCAAATGAAGCAAATCTTCCCACGTGGCAATGTTGTACTTTTTGCTAGTATTGGATGTTTCGTATAGCATGTTGATTATTTGGGGGAGTGTGGAACGTGCGGCTTGCTGAACGGTTTTTCGAAAGTCCAATAAGAGACAACAGAGTGAGACACTTTGTGTCCACACATCGACAGATAGGGATTCACTTTTGAGCAGTTCAGTGAGTTTGAGTAGACAGGATAGTATTTCGAGTGCAATCTTTTCCATATCTTTGGTGGAGGGTGCATTGTATTGTCCGCCGGCATGTCCACTGGAACTGCTGACGGCATTTTTGAGTGGTTTGGAATCAGTGGTACTGCTAGTAGTGTTGTTGGAAGAACCATTGTTGTTGTTGGAATTGGAGGATCCTCCCCCAATGAAACTTCCAACTCCCAACCAACTAGCGGCGGTACTGGCAATAGCGGTGACAGGATATGATTTGCTGGAAGCAGAATCCTTTTGCGATGAATTGTTGTGATTATTGTCAGATCCTTTTTTGTTGGTTTTGTGGTTTTGTTTTTGATACTGTGACATGACCACGTGAGCCTGAATGGTCCAGACTCGTATCATGTGTATTCCATCTCCTGGACAAATGGCATCGGAATCCATTAATAACCTCATGGCTCCAAAGGATATATCCAGCAGTTTGGTGGATGCATTTGGATAATTGGCTGCCAGAAGAAAGGGATGCAGTAGGTCTTGGGATTGAAAGAGGGAGGTTGTGGGGTGCTCGGTCCCTTCGGAAGAAGCCTTGCGGACAGCAGATACATAGGCATTTTGCAATGTTCTCAGTCTCAAAATGGCTCGTTCCGAGGCCTCCTTGACTCCTGATGAAATCAACATAAAGAAAAAGACAAGTCAAGGTGAGACACTAGCTAGATATTCTTAGGAAAGAAGACACAAAAAAAAACTAGCGGTAGCTAGATAATGGTTGACAAGCAGAACATACCGGGATGTTTCTTTCGAGCCTCAGCTCCCAGGTCTCTCAGGTAATCTTCTAATTGAGCCACGAAATTCATTATCAAATGATCTTTGCAGTCCAGTGGGTACTACTAGTATATCCTCCTCCCTTCTATCTTCTGGGCTCTTTCTTTACAGGATCCAAGAATTGGATTGATTCGATTCGGACAAAGAGATCTAGCTAGCTAGATTCGATTCCTTTGGCTCTCTCACAGCCCCTCTGACTTGCTAACTTAGCTGATCAACGCTCACCGATATCATAGAAGGAAAGACAAGACAAGACGTTGACAATCGTTGAATTCGATGCTATCTTGTGACTGCGGTTGTCATGGTCGTCAAATGGCGGATTTGGGATTTGGTTTCTGGCTTCGGATTAACTGCAGTAAGGTTAAGGATACAATTGGATTCTTTGAGCCGCAACCATGGCCAAGCCACAAACTGTCGCCGCTACCGTACGGGTACACAACGAAGTCCTCTCTTCTATCGTACAACCACATCGTCCCATCTATCTATCTATCTATTATTCCATGATGGCGAGCAACACTGCCAACCCCTCTCCAGATGCCGATGGTACTGCCGGTGACAAGAATAACGAAAAAGCTGCCCGACAACGACAACCGTCTCTCTTGGATGGCCTCTTGGTCTCCTCCTCGTCGTCGCCTCCCAACAACGACTCCTCCTTTGGGATCCTCTGCAACGATCCATCCGGATTGTGCCTCAGTGCCACAGGAAGTTTTCTCAACAAGGAACAACAGACACAAACATTGGCCAATGTCGATGATGCCGTCAACAGTGGTGTATACACCAGTCTCACAAAATTAGCACAGCAACTGCATCCAGGACCTACCGATGGAGCCCCGCTCATCACGATGGAGTACGACGAATGCAATATCCTGATTAAGGAGTACAATGGACATGCCATTGCCTTGAAAGTGCCTACCTTGGAGTCGTCGGATGCAGGGGGGACAGCCAGTGATGCACAACCTCCGGATCAAGCAGCCATTACCAATGGGTCCAGCTAGTTTTTACTATCATACATGTAGTTAGTGCTTATAGTAAACCAGGGTTGCCACTTGCTACGGAACATCCATGCTACTAGCTAGCTAGAGCAATCTATCCATGTTAGAGGTTGTTGAAAGAAGCCTTTTTGTGTAAATCCAACTTTCAAAAGCAAGCCCCTCAAATGTCAAAGAAGAGCCACTCAGCAGCCAAAGAGAAACCTCCATAGATCTTCATCATAGATTGTCACGCCGCCGTCTCCATCCCCAAACGACCAATGCACGTAGCAGAGTTTCATAAACTTAGCGAACTTAGCTATTTCCTAATATGAATGAATTGTGGTGTCGTCAATGATTTATCGAATGCATTGCAAGTTTGTCGTTTCTTCTTTCTTTTTGAGCCTCCTGTATGTACTGTATTGTACAGCAAAAAGCATAGCACAGCCTTGTATTGTTTCCTTCTTTCTTTTTTGTTCTTCTTCTAAAGGTCCGGGTATCACACGCTACCCATTATTTCTTCTTCTTCTTTTACAAAAAGGCCAGTCCACACCAGATTCCTCCAATGGCAATTGCCAACATGGAGGAAAACAAACTCAACTTTTGTGGGATATCCGGTCGTTGGAACACTTGTCCGGCACGTCGTGTTCCTTCGCCAATCAACGTCGTCACAATGGCCATGGCGCCCATGGTACCTACCGCATACGCCGACAAAAATGTCAAATTGCCACTCCAAGTGGCCACGGCAATGGCCGGAGCCAACGAAGGTGCTCCATCCCAGGAAAATCCGTGCAACAAACCATTGAAAATGACGGCTCGTTTTTGGGCCGTCTTGACACCGGCATCGGCCGCTGCGGCGGACAAACTCTGTGGTTGGACGCCATCAATCTCGTCTTCCCATTCGCGGGCTTCTCGAATACCCATGATACCAATCAAAATGAGAGACAGACCCACGGCTACTTCCGTGACATGAGACATGCCAGAGAGGACCTTGGACAAGCCGGAACTCATATTATTCTTGAGTTGATTTTTGAGTCCAAATGCCAGGACTCCAATCAAGGTGGCGGAAACACCGTGGCCCATTCCCCAGAGTGCACCCACTCGGCCAGCACGGTACCATCTCTGACCGCAACACCGTGGCAACAAGGCTGCCAAGTGATCAGGTCCTACAATAGTAGTAGTAGAAATAATGCAAAATAGTGAGCCAAGACGAACGCTAATTGTGATCACACACAGGGGATACCATGGCCGTTTGGATAAGGAAAGAGAGGGATTTTTCCCAAGCTCAGACTTCCGCAAGCATACCCTCGTGGTTGACATCATTTGCAAAACTAACTCACCCGCGACAGCATGCAATGCGCCGGCGAATAACCCTCCAGTCATAGCCCCTGTAATGGCAGCTACAGTGGCGGTGGAAGCCGCTGGGACCATTAGGAGTGATGTAGGGGATTCATCCAAACTTCTTGATGGGAATTGTGGTTGCCGTTGCTTGGAGGTTGTTGACGTAACAATGGGACGAGCAATCGTCTTGTGTGCGGCTGGAACGAACCCATGAACTGATTCCAGGGCAAGCAAAAGCAAGAGACTTGTCGATATTCTTTGAGGACCTTTCATCTTTCTTTTGTCTGTTTGATTTGGATTGCTTTGTTTTTTGGAGAGTCTATCGAATTGTGAGAAGTTTCTGTGGGGGTATATCCGGTAGCTTGGATGGATAATAACTCTAGAAACTTCTTTGCTTCCTTTTCTATCCGCGCTCGCTGCTGCTCTCCTTGTTGTACTGCTGCTGCTCAAGTCGCTCCAAAGAAAACGTAACCCAACAAACACAATCACCGGCTGTCGTCTTCAGACTACTGCCGCCACCAAGTTGAAGCAAAGAATTTTGTGAACAGGGATGGGTTTCCTGCTGGCAGAAGTGCGTACATTTTCCACGGTCATCATCCTACACGTGTTGGCAGCGACGTCATCGAATGATTCACGATTTCTTGAGCCTATCCCGTAGAAAACAAGAGAAAGATGACGAAGCGTGGGCTGTGGGCTGTGTTGTTGTCTTTACATGTACTTCTACCGTGTGGACAGCCATGCCCAGTACATGTATCATTGTTGGATAGAAACAAGGGGGTTTATGAATAGGGAGGTTATCTAAGGAAGCCAGCGAGGGCCAGGCTTAGGCAAAGAAGAGTCGAAACTCAGGACTACGTTCCGTGGGATCAGGGGAGATATTTGAGGGCCAACACTGGGGGCAAAGGGCTTGGCTTCTTTGCTGGATCCAGAAAGATGATGTTTTAGGGAGGTTCTATCTACTGGTATCTAGCTAGAGGTTCTAGAGGGCGAGGTCTAATAACTCAAGTGGAACACCAGCATCTACATAGCTCTTAGCTGAAGGTTACATTCATAGTACTCCAGCTGCTAGCTGGAGCATCCTGCATGCACCGTAGTTTAGCCTTTTATTAATTAGGCAAGGGTCTGAATTCTTAAAACATCATGATGGACCCACTCCAGGTCAAATATCTGGACCAACTCCAAGACACACCCATGGACCAGGGACCTTCTGCAGTGCCAAGAATCAAACATACTTCAGGGCTTCCTGGACCCATCCCTGGCTGCTGCAAGGAAGTCAACAACCCAAACCATGCCCCAACCCTGCTCTATCTTCTGGACCAACTGCAGACTGCAGACTTCCTCATGGACTTGCCCAAGGTACTATAGTATCCCCAAAATCTACGGTACCGCTATTTCGTCTCCTGGAGACGATTTGCTTTAGGGGTAATGGTACCGATGGGGGCAGAGGTTTGAATTATACCCGGCGCGCATTACTTAGAAGGCCCTGTAGAAGTCTACGTATTCGACTAGTATGTTATTGACGGGATACAGTTTCAAACAAAACGGGGGGGGGCCATTTTGTTAAAAAAACCCCATTTTTTGGCCACCACCCATTGAAAAAAGTCGGCTTGCGTTCTTCACATTTTAAAAGTTGGCTCTAATTTTTCGGGGTCGCCTTGATTTGATTGGACGCTTGATCTTTTTTCAATGACTGACATTGAATGACGTACGAGGTGCAATGCGAATCTCAGAAAGGTAGTTGTAGTAATAAAAGTTTTTATATATAGATTAATTTACCCTATATCCCTACCGTTTATACTTATAACAAGAACCCGTCTTCTCGCTGGAACATTTCATCGTATGATCTTCTCCTAGGACAGAAAGCCCAATAGTATCCTTAAATCTTGCAAGCATGTCTCTCATTCGTTGTGCATGGCAAAGTTCTTTGGATCCCAATCCAGCTCTTCAATAAGAACAAACCACTCATGGTTCGCACCCTTGATAACACCACGTAAGCCCAGTTTTGACAGTATCGCCATGAATGTACCAAAACCACACTGCAGTATATCCCTGTAATTTGTGCCAGTTGTCGCAGAATTGCTATAATCGGGAACTGCTTACCCTTCATCTTGGTGTGTACAACTTCTCCGTCATAAACCATCTGGTACTGAAAGTGTATCTTGCTCCGTTACATAAAAAGTACGTGCATAATAGTCTCCATTTCATGTTCCACAAGGATAGATTTACTTGACCTGAGAAAAAAACCCGAATCTTGCAGCCGTTGTCGAGTTGAATAACCATGGGGTGCAACCATGCCTCACATTCACCTTTCTCACAAAAAGCCGAGATACCATTGGCTTCTCCATTCGAACATTCGTGTTCTCTGTAAACATTACAGAACACCCCTTATATAACTTCAAAGCAGGATCAACACGTTTTCGTGAGTCCAAACCGGGTTTTAACGAGTCTTCTCCACATGTTGAAAAGAAGTGCTTTAAAACCGAATTGCTCTTACAGGAACCAGTGTCCCTGCTTGATTGGCCATTTGAAGATCGTCCATGAAAATGAATACTGCATCCATCAGCACGGAATCATCAATCTCTCTGGG